GATTGCGATCGACCCCCGGAACTGAAAATAATTTTTCCAGAATGATTTGAAACTTTCGATTTTCGTTGAAAAATAATGCACGCTTACGGGATAATGAACTGTTTTATAGAAAAGGATGTGACTTTGTTAGGTAGCGTTAATTTGGCCTCGTTTGCGTCGGGCGAAAGTTCTGGTCCTGCGCGGGCGTCGCGACGGCTAATTGACTACCTGTTACGTAGCTCGTTATCGAAAAATTGCGCTGGAAAGCGGTTACGCGTGCCTGGGTTCGCGAACTATGGTCGAAAGAGATTTTCTTGCTACTTTCCAGTACTAATGGCAACAGGAACTAAACATGACCAAAAGAAAGAAAATAAAAAATATTTCTTCTACCCACGTAATTATGAAATATGAAAGGGGGAAATATTCCTCTGCATGGCAGGAGTTATAATTCCTTGTTTTTAATTCCGCTTTCCTATAGCAACAGAATAAGATTACACGCGTTATCATACGAAAGGGGAATTAAAAACGTGGAATTGTAATTCCTATCACGTATGCATACTTGTTTCTCTTTAACATTTCTTAATTACGTGTGTAGATTAAATACTCTGTTCTTCCCTTTGAACACGAGCAAATTACGGTTATTACTAACCAAAGAAATTTTTTTATTTCATTCTGGCATTCTTGTAACAGACGTTTCTCCGATTTGTAGGCTATGTTATTTCTTATTCTAATATTAGTGACTCCCAATCATCCCAATGCAATCACTCAAAAGAAAAAACAAATTTACAATACATCAGACCTCGTGATTCTATCGGCAGGAAGTCATTTTGTTAACGTTACGTATTTCCGTTTACGCGTGCCCGTTCGAAGCAACTCGAAGAAAGAACTTTACGTCTTTAAACTCCGCACCGTGTTCGTATCATTCGAAGTTTCTTCGTTGGTCGGTCTTTCAGCGCGAGATAAAAAGTTGCTGGAGGCAACGTATTTCGCCAACGTGCAATTATAAAGGCTATATATTCCCATCGTCTCGGAAACATTTTAACGTCCTCCGCAGGAAGATGATGCAAGTCTGCCAATTTCTCGAATAATTTAGAAGCTATTTGCTGTCAATAGACACGACAAGATGAAAAATACGTCCCGCGTAACGGGCAAGATTGATGGACGGTTAGACGCGAAGAGTTATTCCGGCGCTGAAATGCCTTATACGACGCAGTAATTGGCCATAAAAGCAAAGGGCAACTTTGTTCGCTGGAATAATATTTCGCGGCGCGCGCTAGAGGCTCGTTTCGAACGCCTTGTTCCACGGTTTTCGAGGGAAACAACGTCGAGAGAAGTATTGTTAGACATCCGATTCCATTGTGCAGTATTTAGCAGCGCCGTGCATAAAGTTTCAACGGTTCTCCTCATTTTTCCGCGAATTCGCGTTACGAAACAGTTTTGCCTCCCGGCGCTCGGTTCTCGAAATTTTCTCAATTAATTATTCAACGACCGGTAATTTTCAGTTCATTTTTAAAACTTACGACATTGTGCAATAATCTCTGTCGATATATTTTGCACCGAGCGTCTATAATTCGTCGAAGGTTAATAACTATGCATAATTTCCAGCGCAGGTACTGTAACATAATTTTCCGTCCCGAAGCACCGTCGACGCGACGTTACCTCAGCAGTTAAACAAATTGTTGTTATAACCGGGCTGTACAATAACACGCCAGCCACGTGCTTTTATTATCCTTCCACGTGCGTCGCGTTTGAACAAGTGTTTGCGCTACGCTGATGCAGCCATTTACGTGCCAAGCACCCGGTATCCGCCATCATCGTGAAAAACCAAGCTGAGGATCTCTATGGGGCTCGCAATGATACTGCGTATTATTTTGTTTGCAAAAATTCAGCAAAACACATGTAAATTTATCAAATAATCCTTTAGAGTCGTGTCAACCACTAGAATGGGTTATTAGTGACTTATATTTCTTAAAGTTTAACTTACAAAAATTTTGGAAGCTGTAATATTTATTTGGGATGCTCCAAATTATTTTTTGATATTAACAACGAACCCTGGGGACTTTGTAACGATTTTTATAAAAGATCGAGGCTTCCACGTGGAAACGTCGAAGTTGCCATTTCGTTGAACGGGGGGTGAGAAGGGAATGGCACGGTTGTAAGCTGATGGATTGCAACGCAACACTCGGCGACGTTAATCGCATTAGCAAGGTCCTGGACCGCTGATGGCGATACAACAGCAACGACTTCGCCCAATGGAAACGCAGTCGTATGCATTTGTATTTAGTTTCTGTTTAATTCGAAACAATAGCCCGGGCCGTAATTGGCAAACGATATCGTGCAGGAATATCCATTAATTGCGTAGCTGTTGGTATCGTCCAATAGTCGCGCGTATAGATTACAACCACAGTCGGAAAGTAATTGATGAATTCCATCCATAGGAATTATATTGCAAATTATAGAGTAACGCGAACGTGTATCAATCATAACATGCCGGTTCTATAATTACCGAGCGTTATCATTAATTATTTGGGAACGTTTCGATGAGGATTCGGAAACAGAACGGATGCAAAGTCGTAGAGACGCTTGAAATGCATTAATTATTTTTAGCTACGTTCGGTTTCCCGCGCGTTCGAGAATTTTAGTCACCCTCGTATCGGTCGTAGAATACGCCGGCGAACTTAAATCGAAATGTTCAACTCGCGACCCGGAAACTTCGAGCATTATTCACCAGATCCCGAGCCCCTCTTGGCAATCGTTCCACGTGATTAGTATTCCTGCGAACCCTATCCCTTTTTCTCGTCTCTAGATAAACACCAAGTTTATCTGTGCGCGGCGAGCCCCAATAAATTCAAGTCGAGTCGCTCTTTATCGTAGGCCGATTATCGCGAACTCGGGCAGGGACTTCCTTCTCCATATCGTGGCGTGTGTACGTGTCTGCGGTGAAATCGTGGCGGGAATTAACGGTGTAAATACCCCTTCGACGCGAAAACCTGAATCAAATATTCCGACGAGGCTTTTGGACCACTGAACCCGTTATCGACTCTTTATCGATACGAATTCTGGAGCAAATCTCTTGCGGCCAGGATAAAGCAGGGGTAAGCTATTAGTCTGGCCACTAATTACGAACATCTAATCCGGTTAAAGCAGAATATGCAAGCAGAGTGTGCATAGAAGTGGGCAAAATGAAAATTTTGTTAGATGAACCTGTTCTTTCTTAAATGGAGTCGACAACTCTTTTCCTACGGGGAAAAATGAAATCTGATTTACCCGTGGATCGTGTTTGAAGTTCAACGGATGTTGTTACGTAACAATTAGAAAGACCTCGATTAATTATAAATTGTATAATATCGAACGACGCCTCTGCGCGGTCGGGGCTTGACATTAATGACGTAAACACCCTTCGGTGCAGTCAGTCAGGGGTGGGAACCGTTCTGATTCCATTTACGGTACATTAGTGAGCTTCGTCCCGATCGCCGAAGGGTCAGGAGATAGAAAAGATAGACAGACAGCTTTTATTACAGATTCTAGGAGGCTCGTAAAGAGGGTTTATTCGTGGCCGTTAATCGCGTTCAATTGTACAGTAAGAGACACAATACCTAATCGAGTGGATGACTTCCAGCGTGCCGAGCACATTCGAGAAATCCATTACGCTTTAATCAAACTCCAGGCAAAGTGCATCTCGATTGATTTTCGAAGACGAACACCGTTTGTTTGCCCGCAGAAGATATTCAACGATCGATAGAAAAATCGTTCCTTTTTCGTAATCGAGTAATTTACCTGGTCGAGCGGATGACTTCAACGTAGAAACCCATTATTAGTGTATCTCATCTTGAGCACAATTATTTCTAAACACATTTGCCATTCACTTCGATCGAACTCGAAGCTGTATTTGTCTCTTCTTTCACAAAATTCACAAAATTAATTATTCAAAAGCTGGTCTCGTCTAATTTTTCGCGAAAGCTCGTCTAAACACTATGTCGCGTCGAATGACAGGTGCAAGTGTCTTTGGAACTGTCGAACGGAAACGCGTTGACGCCTATCGACACGCTGGCAATCTTAGTGCTTTTCCTCGCGCGGGTCGCCACGTGTTAGCTGCATTAGCGCATAGTGGCTTGGCGATTATTTGCAGTCAGCTAACGAAACGAGGCTACACCAAATGCAGTTTGCACACAAGTGCACGCTGCACAACGGTTAATCATTCTCGTGTTAGAGAGGTGAGAGACAACAACGTCAAACTGACGAACTTGGAATTTCAGATCAGGATTTCTTGTCGAGCCCAACTTTGACGCGGGGGGGGCGGTAAATCATCGAATATTGCTTGTTAGGTGTCCCAAATCGAGTTGATCCTGCAATATGTACGTATTGGCGTGATCGAGAACTTTTGATTTATGTCTCCAAATAATCGAGCAATCAGAGTTTCACGTGACACGAAAATATTGTACACTTCTCGGTCAATCGTGATCTAGTGGCCATGGAAATATGAAAATCCAATATTTTTCGATAGGCTCATAAATTTTTAATACGACCGCGTCGATCGGTCCACAAGTAGTTTGCATAATGTTACATTTAATATTCCGATGAGGAATTTATGAAGTCAATTATCCACGTTGATTCACATTATATGTTGTTATGGTGGTTACCGTTGCATAAATCGTTACCTGCGAAAGTAATTGACTCGTATTTCCATAAAATTGGCTCTATTCCCGCATCTCCAGAATTACTGAAACGCAGGGTGTTTAACATGTCGCGTTCATAAATACAGTTATTACAACTTGTTTTATACGTTATCGCTATTTTTAGCTGTTAATCATTTTTACGTATACTAACCAGATACATTTGTTTCGCCGAAGTATGCCGGCGTAAAGTGAATAATAACACAGTAGCTCGCGTTAAATCATCTTTTCAGACCGTTTATATTAATAAAATACTACATCGAAAAGAATCCCAATTACAAAAAGGAATATTCAGACGTCCCTCTGATATTTCAAATTCAACGGTATTAATTTATCCACCATACTCACTGGATCTCACTCCGTCTTATTTATTCCGAATCTGCTAGAAATTCACTCGTTAGAAAATTCTTCCGTAACGTCACCGGTACGAAAAATTCGCACGAATGTTTGATACCAAAATTAAGAGGTTTTACGATCGATGGAACAACCCCGAAAGATGGCGAAATTCCATGCACCGGTGTCGATCGAAAATATGAGGATCAAACTCGAGGATCGTAAGCTGTCGTTAGGATCGAGAACTCTTTCACTGATATCTTATCGGACGGAAGCACGTGTCTCGATAACGGGCCGCGACGCGAAAAGAAGCGCGGTTTTATAATCGCACGGACACGAAGCACGGGGAATCGTTTTGTGACGACTATTTCCAGAGGCTAGCGAGTAGGTAGGACGCCGTAGGAGAAAGGGAAACCGCCGGGAAGAGAAGAGGGGTGGCGCATAGGGTGGCGTGCGCGTTTCAAAAAGGGTGAGGGAAAGCGTATCGGCTTGGAAAATATGTTGGTCGCAGAACAACGCGTAACCGACGTGCCTCGTCGACGTATTTTTTTTTTTTATTTTTCTTTTGCTCGTCGTCTCTCTTTTGCTCTCTTCGCTGCCCCCCTCCCCCCTCCACCTTTCATCCCCTTTCTTTTCTACTTCGATTTACGCCCGAGGCGGATCGCCAATTTCGCGACCACCCTCCGATTAAAATTCATACGCTGAGCTCGGGGTACAAAGGGCGGCGTCCCTCGACGACGCTGTTTGGAAAAGTAATAGAGGGGCAAAAGTGGCCGACGCACGGCCCCCGGGGGGGTGGCTGTCAATGTGCCTAATCGACGCACTTGATTCGCCGAATGGGAAGATGATTTCAAGGTGCAAACGCGACCACCGCGAACGACCTGCGGATCGGTGTCGAAAATTGAACCTCGAGTTTTAAATAACTCGCACCCCCTTGGAATTTTCCATGATTTGAATGATTTCACTTCGCGTTGAACAGAAACTGTCTCACTGTAATCGAGGGTGAGTTAAAAGTTCCCCTAGAAAGTAATAAAATTCCTCGTATTTGTGCTCGTCGGCGCGTTTCGAGTGCGTTCGAAAAAGGGATGTCGAGAGCTACAAAGTTAGTTTAAATTACACATTTCGGACTACGTGCAACCACGAGCAAACGAGCTTTGTGTACGAGATTTATACGTTACAAAATGTTCCGTTTCTTGACTATTTTCCACTCGTTAAACATTGAAATTGTTTGAGAAAAAATTTCGTAAACGTTTCTAAAATACGCGAGGTACGTTCTTTTTGTTATTTTCAAATGTTAACATGCTGTGTCTAGAATTATATATTGTTGGTTCTTAATAATATATTTCTATCGAATCGTCTTTGAGAGACAAACAAGAAATAAAATTCCACTAACGAGTTCTACTCTCGCGGAGTAACGAAATACTAAAACGGAGAACTCTATTTCGGTTTATCGTTTCGCAATTAAAGTTGTTATCTTTCGCGGGAGGATCGCGGCGTTAGAAATGCCGGGAAGACGTTTCCTAAATAGAGAAATCTCGCACGAAATGTTGCTTGTTAAATTACTTCGGAACAATCGTCGTGGCCGTTGGAACGGAAACCCATCGAGTTCACAGTTTTCTTGCAGTGCGCGTCTTGTTCGAGTAATCCGTGAAATCGCGGCGGGAAACGGAGCAAGTAACACGGAACATTAAACGTGTTTATACGTCGACGTGAAAACGATGGAGGCTGGCATAAGCGTTCCCCGAGTACACACGATCTCATTGTCGTGTTTCTCTTGTATTTACATCTGCTTTCATCGACAACTATAGTATCGAATCACGAGCCTCGTGTTCCCTTTGTAGCGGCGCGTTTGACGCTCATTTCACATTTTCTCGTTCCTTTACTGTCTAAACAGTATTACTTTCAGCTTTGCTCAAATAAAATCATCGAATCGATTAACGCTCCCTTCAAATTGCCTTGGATTTATTTAGACTTTATAGAGCACATTAACGCGAACTTGAAATGTATACACTTGGACTATTTTTTGAGGACATGTAATGGAATAATGCAAATTAGAAACAGAAAATTCTTCGTTTCGATCGTTACTCCGCTGGACGGATCTAGGTTACGATCGCTATATCTTCTTAAGTCTCTGTACATCTAAATAAAAAGGGTTTTAGGTTCCAGGGCTTATCCATGAGAAAGAACCGCGTTTCGTTTAATTTGACGTATAATAATGTGCAGATTTTATTCTAACCGTCCGACGAGCGTGCTCTAATTTTCAGCAGCAAGAGCAAAGGACGATGTTACAGTACCATTCAGCGATTGCTCGAGTATCAGTTATGTAAAAGGTTGCAGCACTTTACACGCCCGAATTTCACGACTTTCTCGTTCGCGTTTTACGCAATATACGCGTCGAAACGTTACGCATTCGACGGCGCATACATACACGGTGGCTGGAAATGAAACGCGAGCGTTCATTGAGGTTCGTTGGGAGATTTTGATGGAGGAATAAAAGGCGATACCGGTGCCCCGTCTACCCGGAACAATCGAATACACGAGCGCGAAATATTTTCGAAATGGTCACCGGGTTCTGGCCGTACGGTTTCACGCGTTTCACGTTATTCTCGATTAATTTTATAGTTAACTTCCCCTTTATTTGAATTCGTTTCGAACGCTGTTGGCAAATCCATTTAGCGCGAGAGTTGGAGCATCAACAGGTTCTCTCAAATATCGATCAATCAAACGAGATTGAGGTTGTAAAAAATTGCTATTTCGAAATTCAGCAGACTTTCCTTTTATTGCGCGATTATCGATGGTGGTTCTTGGACTCTTAATCAATTAAACACCAATTTTTAAGTGTACTAATACCGAGACGCTTGCACTACAATATTTCCAATAATATACGATAACTGATTTAAACAAAATATACGTTGTCTTCTTTATTCCAGAATCTCAATCATAAACGAGCATAAAACTAAGAAGCAAAAGTTAATGGCCACGTAGCGTGTCTAACATCTAATCTATCTATTGAAAGTCAATGAGTGTACGCAAGATTTCTTATCGTATTGTAAAAAGAGCAATAAAAAAGGTTTCAGCCGCATACGTTAAAAATGTCACGATGTTCGAATAAATTTGAATACCAGGAAAACAATTTTTTTCCGGCGATGCTCCAAACGGGGCGCTAGTTTTTCTCAGGTTAATTGTTGGACTCGTGCGACGATGTTCGATGCTCGTTTCCGAACAAGCAACAGCGTTCGAGTATGAAACATTAAAAAGCTCGTGACCGAGAAAAGAAGGAGAATGTGCAGAGTCAATATGATACCATGGCTCGTATGCAATTGACGATGCGAAGGGCAGTGGCACATGACGACTTTATGGCACATTTCCGCGCTAAAATAGCAGCCGGTGACTATTTCTGGCGCGGAAAGTCAATATAAAGCACGTGCACGATACAATGTGATAATGGTCGACAGCCAGTGCAGGTGACACCGAGAAATATTAATTATATTCCGCATCGTTTTATTTCGACGCTCCTACATGCTGATTCCCGCTTCGAATCGAGCCCAGAGAGGACTCATTTATTACTACAAAGTAACAAAATGATTAAAAAATTCTAGATATCTAATTCCTCCATTGCTTATAGTGGCTATTCGTGACCAGAATAATTTAAAATTTTACTCTGTGTAATAAAGTAAAATTTAATTTTTGTTTACCGATTTTCTTGAAATTTTGAACATCTGTCTCTATAAATGATATTTGCTCTCTATTCAGAGAACTCCTGACTCGCATATGGGTCAGCGGATGATCAACGAGTCGAAGCAAACGTGGCGAAAATTTGGTCTATAAATCTGGGGCGCAGAAATTCTTGCTTCTTAGGGACGCGTACGTTCCGAAAAAGAGCCAAGAGACCGCCGGTTCGTACAATAGTTTCTTCGAGGTTGCTTTCTCACAGCCCGGTACGTGGCGTCGACGAATTAAAATCACCGAGGCGTAGCTATCGCGCGGGATTCGCGAGGATACGCGATACGTCGAGTCGCTTTAGGCTCGTTTCACTTTCTCCTTGCGTCCCGGGTTCCCTTCTGCGGCTGCACGGTGAATTTTAAACGACCAAGTCGAGAGGAATTCGCGATAATCCAAGGAGAAGTCGGGACGAACGAGCCGATCGACTGGCCCGAGAAAATCGTGTTCGATTCGTCGGTTCGCGATTTTTATTCCGAATGTATCTGATCCCTGGCGCATATCGAAGCAGACGCCAATCAGAATTGGACGAATTTTGCTCGCGAACGCGGCGGGGAATACGAATTTTAGAATCCTTCGCGAAGCAACTTCGGATGGGGAAATTATTAATTGTTTAAATCGGTTTAGTCGGGATATTTGTGGCGTACGTCGACGCGGTTAACGCACGACGACACTTTCCGCACGAACGATATCATGCGGGTTTATTTATTGGCCCATTGATTCACGATTCTGGGATTGCCAGCTCGAAGCGGAGCGATATTGCGTATGGAATAGAACGATTCCTTCTGGATGGAATTAAACGGCATAAATGAAACCGAGCAAACATATTTAGCGATCGAATAGTCGAAAGAGGCAACAATTATGCTTCTTCAAATCAATAAGATCTTTAAAAAACAAATAGAAAATTCATTAAGTCTGTTGGCGACGAATCATTTTCACGATTAATATGAATATTCTGGATTTTCCGTGTTTTCATTATTTGTAAAGCATATTCGAATGCAATTTCATGGTTTTATCGAAGAATATTAAATAATATATTGTATCGTAAAAAAAACACCGGTCGAATCTTTTGGACGGCTAAATGAAATTTCAGGCTGGCTACACGGTCGGTAATAAACGCAAAATGACCGAACAAAAGCAGACGAGAACGCGCGTTCCGCACAGCCACGCAACGAGAATTAACGTCAGCGTCGGTTATGATCCTTTTTAAAATAGAAACTTTTTAAAGTTAATCCGTCTGTCCGGTACAGCGAGCCCGACGTATGAAAAGGTTAATTAGCCGGGCCGGTTTTTCACGCAAAGATGGAACGACGTACAAAGCAGATAAAAGTGAATTAACATCCGCCTTCGGTGCTAAATTCCGATCGGGAGAAAAATTCGCTCGACCGCGGTAATTTACCCCGCGAAAATTCGTGGCCAACGGGGTAATTATAGCGACTCGAATCGTAACCCTCTCGGTTCATTAGGAACGGTGGCAATTTATCGCCGCAAACTGAATTACACCCCCCCCCCCCCGGAGAATTCGTGTCCTTCGCGAGAACCCTTTGTGTTTGGAGAAGAGCTCGACAGGATAAATTATTTCAACGAACGATCAAGCATTCACAAATTCTACCCTATAGGAGGGCAGTTTCTCATAT